CCCCCCCCCCCCCCCCCCCCCACACACACACCCGGATCAGGCCTGGGGGCCAGCACTTGCCTCTTGCAAGGGCCCTGCCCCCTTTGGCCCTGTGTGTCAGGATCGGGGCGGTGGGGGAGCAGGGTGGGTGTTCTCCCACCGTCACGTTCATGGGCTTGTGGGGGCCCTCGACACCTGGGGCTTAAGCACCTTGGCTCTAGAGATCCGGTTTGAGGCTCTTCCTCTGCAGCGGCTGCCCCGCTGCTGCTCTTAGAGATGGGGCTCACTGTGTGGGCCGCAGACGTTACCCAGCCTGGCCTGGCCCGGCCCGGCCCAGCTGTCGCTCTTATCTCTCACAGAAACAGAGCTGGGGCGGGGGGCAGGGAGCATGGGGTGGGGAGCAGAAAGCAGAGCAGTCGGCGGGGGTAGCATGCATCAGCAGTGCTCTGGGTGCGGGGCCAGTTGGCCAAATAAGTTTCCCCCATGGCTCAAACCCAGCAACCACGAGAGGCGTTGAGGCTGCCCTGGGCTGAATCTCTGTGCTCAGGCCTCTGATGCATGGGGTCTGAGTCTGCCCGCCCCCGGGGTCTTTCTGAGTCTTCCTGAGCCCTGGTAGCAGCGGCAGAGCCGCTCTGGGCCTTTCCTGCAGCGGAGAAGGGAACGAAAGCGCAGGTGTGGCCCTGCGTCCCTGACCCAGCCTCTGCCTGGTGCAGGCATCCTCCATGAAGACCTGCGGCTGCTGCTGGAGACGCACATGCCGGCCAAGAAGAAGAAGGCGGCGCTGCTGGGGGTTGGCGATGCCAAGATCGGGGCAGCCATCCAGGAGGAGCTGGGCTACACCTGCCAGACAGGAGGGGTCGTGGCCGAGATCATGCGAGGTGAGGCAGGTAGGGGGGTCCCCGTGGGGCAGGAGGCCATGGCTCCACGAGCAGAGCCTGAGCTGCCTCCTGGCCTGCAGGGATCCGGTTGCATTTCCACACCCTGGTGAAGGGGCTCACAGCCCAGTCGGCCTCCAAAGCGCAGCTGGGCCTGGGCCACAGCTATTCCCGGGCCAAGGTCAAGTTCAACGTCAACCGTGTGGACAACATGATCATCCAGTCTATCAGTCTCCTGGACCAGCTGGACAAAGACATTAACACCTTTGCAATGCGCATCAGGTGGGCACTGCGCCAGCTGTGGGGGGTGGGGGTGTCTCTGCCACGTGGTCTCTGAAGGCGGGGAAGTGTCTGCCTGGCCCTCCTGATGCTTACCGCAGACAGCGGGGCTCCTAGCGCTGCCTGTACAGAAGAGGGAGGCACAGTATCCGTCCTTCTTACACCACAGCCAGGGAGGCTGTGACCTGGCTGTCTTGTGACCAAGGCGACACTCTCAGTGTGGGGCAGGGCTCTGCCTGCTGGTGCCAGGCTGCCTGCAGCGGGTGTCTAACACTCCCTTTTTCTCCCACCCAGGGAGTGGTACGGGTATCACTTCCCCGAGCTGATCAAGATTGTGAGTGACAACTACATGTACTGCCGCGTGGCCAAGCTCATCGGCAACCGCAAGGAATTGGCTGAGGAGAGCCTGCCAGGGCTGGAGGAAATAGTCATGGACAGCGCCAAGGCCCAGGCCATCCTGGATGCCTCCCGCTCTTCCATGGGTGAGCACCGGAGCTGCTGGGGGAGGGGGTCCAGCCTCACACCTAGCTAGCGCCTTCTGGATTGGGGCATAAAATCACGTCCACCCCAAGCCCTGCTGGAGGCAGGATCAGCCCAGACAAGCCCCCCTGTCTGACCTCAAAGCCACATGGCACATTCACCCCCGACACAGCCCCAGGCATCGCCTCCACCCCTGCACCCAGGAAAGCAGGGGGGCCGCGGCCACCAACATCCTGCTGCAGCCAGGGGAGGTCATAGGCACTGCAGAAGCTGTGCCCCCACTGCAGAGGAAGGGGAAACCCCCCCCTAGTCCACACCAGTCTGAGCAGGGGGGGCAATCCCTTCTTGCCCCAGTGCAGCGTGGGGCTGAGCCTGAGTGTGGGGGCCAGACCCTCCAGCCAGGACCCTGTGGGGTTGGTGCCAGCAGCAGCGTTGGCCCAGTCCAGCCCCAGCCCAGGCTGCAGCAGCACCAGTGCCTCTGGGGGAGGATTAAAGGCCTGCAGCACTTTTAACCAGGGGCTGCTCCCTTGTAGGGAGGGGGTGTCCTGGCCCGTGAGGGTTGGGTAGCACACTGACAGCCCCTGCTTCCCTGCAGGTATGGACATCTCCCCCATCGACCTCATCAACATCGAGAGCTTTTCCAGCCGTGTCATCTCGCTGTCAGAGTACCGCAAGGGGCTACAGGAGTACCTGCGCTCCAAGATGGGCCAGGTGGCCCCCAGCCTCTCGGCCCTCATCGGTGAAGTGGTGAGCAGGGGATGGGGCGAGGAGGGGGGTCTGGGTGCTGCCAGGCCACAGAGATGATGTTGTAGTGAGAATCTGTCAATCCACTGAGCTCTCTGCTGAGAACCCATCACTGCTGATCTGTGTCCTAGCTCCCAGGGGCCTGCTGACATCCCTGCTCCCAGCAGCAGGTGCGTGACCTTCCGTCCTCTCCCCCACAGGTGGGCGCCCGCCTCATTTCGCACGCTGGCAGCCTGACAAACCTAGCCAAGTATCCAGCCTCAACGGTGCAGATTCTGGGGGCAGAGAAGGCCCTG